CCCAGTGCCTAGAAACATAAGGAGAATTAGGTCGGAGTAGAAATGAATCGGAATAGCCCCTGTGTCTGTTCATACAAGCCTCTTGATAAATATAAGCCGAAAACGGACAGAAACGCCAGTTGTTGGGCTGGATGACCCCTTTAAACAGGAGCGTTTGTTTTGCAACCGAAATAATGTTACAGGTTAGCTGTATGTGAACTATATATCTCAAAGGAACTCCAACAGGTCGATCCAGCCCTTCGAGTGACGGGTTCTGTAGCGTACTACGCATTTTCAGACCGATTTGGGAAACAATGTTCAAGTCAATTTAGCCAGCTTTTCCTCTTAATCTCAAAAAATTTGCCCTATTCAAGTATTATGTCCAAGTCTTCCTAAAAAAGGGCCAGTTTCTTATCTACTATTTCCTTCGAAGACAGATTTGGGCGAAAACTCGGTTCTAGTTGTAGTTTGATCTCCTGAACACAAATATCGCACCCGCTTGGCCCGATGCTGCCTGGCGCCAGCGCCAAGATACCTTAAATCACCAAATCTGCTAAAACTCGAATATTATTTGACATCCTGATTATGGATATGCCTTACATTCTTGGTGCTGGCGCTGAAGGGGACGCTACTATCACTTGCGCTCGGCTAAGGCTGCGCCTTTCCTGGAGGAAACCTTTCTTCTCCCGGACTTAGCCTTAGCAGAATTGGCCTTGGTTCCTAGAAATGAATGCTAATGCCATTTTCGCGATCAGGGGACCGAGCAATCCTACTGTGCAAGTTTACGCCATTTATTGATGAGAAGGACGCTTGAAGTTGGTCCTATTTGGCCATTTGGTGGCTAGAAACACGAAATGGCTAAATGGGACCAGCACCAAAAACTAATGTCTGTGATGTCTTATTCGTCATCAGGACATCGAATTACACTTATGAGCAAAGCATACCTACAGAAAATTTTTCTGGTTTTTGTGGTAGTAGTTGAATAGTGTCAAAAATTTCGACCTAACTTCGAAAAAGTGAGGCAGCATTCGTGAGTTAACAGCAGAGACTATCACTGACCCTGTGCCTTATAACTGGTCACTTGGCGTTGGGATGGAAGTAGCTCCTTGTCATGGGGAAAAGTAGAGTGCTTAACCCCTATATAAATGAACCAGAAGTTGTCTGTCCGGAAATTCGGCATTACCGAAAGGGCCAGTTTGAGTGGCATGGTCAAGGGTGGTATGGGTAGGTAGGGGATAGAATGTATGGACCACACATAAACTGAGCTAAGCTCCGCCCACTATGCTCGAGGCTTGCCCTTGACCAGGAGCCTTTTATTTCGAAAAATCGTAATTCAGTTCTTGAAAATCCGGGAAAATGTTCCTATGTTTCGATGTCAGTTCAGTTCTAGGACTCTGACTAGAGCGATACCGACCAGCATTTTTCCAATGACTGATACCTTTCTAAGTCCGATGGGAATCTCAAACATGGAGCTGTGTCTCAGGCATACTTTGACTTTCTGAACACAGATACACTCCATATCCCAAGATAGAAGGGGCGTAGGCCGCGTACTTCACTCAAACGTACCTCAGGTGCGTTCTTGATGAAGTAATCCCATTTGAGGTATTACTCGTTTTGCGTTGTACTGGACAATGACATGATTACAGTTGTCTCAAAACGGCAATATTCCACTAGGAAAGCAATCATCGTCGTGACCAGAAAAGTAGGCAGCCACGCCCTCTACATCACCAGGATATGGAGCGTGCATCACTCGTTTGGTAAGAAAACTCAAGTGGAGTGCGCTGCGGGTGCCAACAAGCCCACGCCTTCTTCTCAGCCACGGGGCGCCTAAACTTGACTAGAATGCCCCCAAATTCCTTCTGCATAGGGAATACGGGAAAGCGCTGATCTACTGGCCAGAATGAGTGTAATCAAAGTTATTAAGACACCTGGTTCCATTCCTAGCACCACACCTATTTCGCAATCAGCAAGGAAAGCGCTAACGTTCCCAGCCAACAAAGCCGTTCTCACATTCAAAAAGGGAATATTAACATATCAAAACGGGGAAAATGGTGATAAAACCAATGCATAGTGGTGAAATAGCATGCAAGAGAGAGTCGGGATTTGATCACAGTCACCCGCGGAAGAAGAGTTGGCCAGGTATATCCTTTGAGCGCCAGCGAAATCAGGTGGCAAAAGAGACATCGTTCCAACAGTGATCAGTTCCTTTAGTGTACGCCACTTTGTTGGTGCTATATTACAGTCATAGCAGTCTCGGAATCAGGACATCTCGTACGCTGGGAATCCCCAGGGAGGGGGTCGTTTTTGTGTACAGTCATGATCCCTGCAACCGATAGAGGCGTGTGAAGCGGCGCGTGCTGGGGCGGAGCCAGGGCCCTCTTCCCACCAATAATGCCAGCCCGCATCTGGTGGGAGATTCAAGAGTCAAGATCAAGATGCCCCCGTCAGACCATCGTTTCCAGTGATCATGACTGCGGTTGCCTTTGAGCAAGATGTTTTCGGTGGCCGACTTTTCCGCGTCTCAGGTGCGTTATATAATCCTCCCACGAAAGCGGTTTTTACAGGGAAACTGGTACACTAAAAATCCAGAGATGCAGTAGGCGTGGCTGCGTACCTCAACTTGATGTGGCGGCGGCTTTTGATGAGATAATTCATATTGGGATTATGATCATCTCTATGCCCAACACAGAAAAGAAGACAGTTGTCTCCACTTGAAATTTCCTACGGGTAACCCATCCTATGCAATGTTTAGATGCCACGCCTACTCCGTCTCAGGGATAATGAGTGACTGTAAAATGAGGGTGTGGAAGAGGATCATACCAGAGAAGGAACTTCTGGGGGAGGGTGTCGTAGTTCGTAAAATTTCACTTTAACGGTAGGATGCGCTTCGGCAACAAGTGTTTGGAATACCGCATAGCCCGCATAGGCGAGCAATTTCCATATCAGTGTTTTACCATTTTTTTTTCGAGGCAACTAGCCAAGTTCTCCACAAAAAAATGAGAAGTCATTCCGGAAGAAATCACAATCCGATATTTTGCGCCAAAATCAAGTGCACAAAGTTGCAGTGCTCAATTTATTGACTTCTCCCAGCTACCGTTGTGATCCCTGCAAACGTTAGGGCGTGTGACAGGGTCATATTTTGGAACGCACCCATCACAGATTTGTCCCCCATATGCAGCGGTCTGAGGATGGCATGTTTGGTGGAAAAAGGGCCCCTGCAGCGCTTCAATCCACGCCGCATCGCTTGCGGGGGATCATAAGTGTAGGTGAGCTCAGTTGACCACAAGACCGCTGATGGTTCATTCACTGACTAAACGCCACATTTCTCACCAGAGAAGTCCGTCGACTTACCGTGAAACTTTGAATGGAGACTACCCTGGTCAGCACCTCCTTCATTAGGAATGCTTGGCTACTATCCAGAACAAGCCGTGATCTTGCAGAGCTTCAGGTACATGTGGAAATATTATCTGGCCTCGGGCAAAAGAAAACCGGCCGAGGAACCACCAAGCGCTCTGTGAACCTCGTAGCTTCGGATGATCACCCAAAAGAGCAGACCCTGTTAGTTCAGTGCTCACGGAAAATTCAAGGAATCCTACCGCTTTAGCGACCTTTCAGGTCGCTCCACATGAGGGAAACGACCTGAAAGGTCGCTAAAGCTTCCACAAGGCTGGAAAGAAGCAATATCTCAGCACTCCTCAGTGCTGTAGAGCACACCTGAGTCATATAAACCTGCTTAAGACCGGAGATAACCAGGGAAACCTGTTCGAGATTTATGGTGAAAATTCATTGAAGTACATACCTGCGTACCACAGAAGACCTTCATCCGCTTGGACTACCGTATTTGAGTCTGAGGAGGAAACCAGGTAATGTGACCGAATGTTTTATAAAGGAATTTTGTCGGTAAAGTGCTGATCAGAAATCAGTTTCCGACCTTCTCTTCAAAGTTTCTCCGATACTGATTTCTTGGGTACATAATTTTGGTGCACTCTGCGAACGCAAATAGACTGTTCGGGTAAACCAATTAACTTAACGGCGTATGGCAGATAGTTTGTACTCGGTCTAAAATGGTAGCAGGGCGCTATATAGTGGGAAAATGGCGAAAAAGCGAAGTGAAACGGTCAAAAACCTGCAAAAAGCCTTCGTTCCACACGACTCAGGAAGCAATTTTAGGACGAGTTTCCCGTTGGCATCGTGCCAATGGCCGCTGCGGTAGATACGGCTGCGTGTATGCACTCATATATCCATGCAGCACCGCAGCCGCTTCATATAATCCCTTCGCTTCATATTGTACTTCGCAAATGAAGCGATACGAGCATCAGGTACGGTCGTCCATTTGTGGGCGGGGGGGGTTGGGCGCGGTGGGCGTCCGGGTTGGTATGTTGCAATTGACAGGAAGCTATGAGGGTACCTCCCTTGGGAAAGGCGCCACGCAGCGCCTGGTCAAGGGCTCAATGGGCGCCAATCTGTTCTGCTAGGCGTATTAACCCTACACATCTCGCCCACTTACCACTCGCCTTTAAAAATTGCATTTCAGCACTCTAGTCAGTACTGTAGTCACTGTAATCTTAATTTACCCATTATATGACTTATAACAAAAATTACGTTAGTTGTACAAAAGGCTTTCAACACAAGGAAATTCTAAGAAACTACCTTTGTCGTTTCGATTCGCTTGCTTCGTGAAAATCTTCTGTGACGCGAACGTCTACGTGGGAGCGATGATGGGAGGAAGCTTGCTCGAACGTCCGAACTGCTGCGTGAACGGAAACGTTCGGAACACTACCAGAACCTTTGGACAGTTGGAATCCGTGCGGGATTACTCCACTGCCAATCCTTGTTTCTTCTGTCTTTTGCCAGGCTCGCTCTCTCGGTTTTATCTTCGGAGGCGTTGTTTTTTGTACTGCCTCTTCGGACAGTGTTTTCCTAAACAGACACAATCTGTTATCGACCTTGATGGAGCGAAAAGGCAAATTCTAGCTTATTGTTCAGAGGGATAAAATGATTAAGCTTAGAGCAATCTCGTTCTGGGATGCAGCCTGCCTTTCTCGAAAGGAAATTCTCTCAAATTGTGAAACCAGAACAACCAAACGTACTCGAGTCTCCTCGCCATTTCGTGAACAAAGCCTTTGCGGAATGTAGGCATATCGGAAGATGCGTTTCGAACAACTGTAGGTTTCACTTCGCCCTTTGACGATTGGTGCTGTAAGGTTTCCAAAGTTTCGACCGACTTCGAGTCCCTAGCGCTCTCCATTTTGCGGACTTCTGCCATTTCAACATGCTTGCGGTCTATTCCCTCGAATGTGAGCTCGTGGAAGATGGCTAAAAAACATGATCTAAACATAACGTGCAATTGCTAAGGCTACGGCATAAAAGCCGTTAAGCTGAGAGGGTAAAAGCGGCCCTGGTGGCGTAACGGATAGCACTCGCCCGGAAAGCGTGAGGTGCGGGTTCGACTCCCGCCTGGGGTACGACTTTTGCCCATAACTCAGCATTCTTGTGATAGCTTTAAACATAGTTTTTTCTGGATATCAGGGCATGGAGCATTCTCATTTAAACAGTGTTTTGCACTTTAGAGGATAACATACAGGGACAGCAGAAATGAGGCTTATTTCTTTATGGGAAGGAAAATAAGCACAGGACAAACCCCTTTGGAACAATAAACGCTTCATGGCCGGTAAGATTTTTCTGGAAGAAATTGGGAAAATCGTGGGATGTTTCGTTTCACAGTTTCAGTAAGAATACCCCTTCTCCACCAACCCTCCCATCTCCAGAACAATGCTCAAGAATTGCCAGTGAAACCTACCAGCCTTTTCAGTACTTTTCTTCTTCTCCTTTTCATGAGTATCGTGATTCCCATAGCTGCCTTCATGGTAGGAATCTGGAATGAGAGCACAGAAATACAATGTGTAAACACGAAGAATATCGTGACACAACATTCTTCTACAAGAACCATCTCATTTTGGCCGTAATGGAATCTTCACGTTCGATTCCTTGGGTACGACGGTAACCCTAGCCGGTACTTTATCGTCGAGCATCGTGGGAGCTTGCCTTCCGCATTTTTTATTACATAAAAAGTTTCTTCTGCCTACAAAGGCATGTGGACACTTAAGCAAAAAAAAGAAATATTGAGATTGAAAGTCTGGTAGCTCCTGCATGATTTTGTGCTAGTTTGGTCATTTTTCCTTTAGCACAGACCTATATGGAACTTAATCTCAGATGCTGCTGAACGAGGTTCCTCATTGTTGTCTCGTGTGTGGCATCGGCACCCGCGGCGCCCCTCGCCAACCTGCTCCGTGCTGTGGCAACTCCCAAGCCAGCAAAATGTCGCCCACTTTGAGGTGGCCATGAAACTGCGCATTTCAGCTGCGCGTTCGCGTGTAAAGAACACGCCTGAGCCGGTTTGCAGTCGCCACTGATCGTTTCACACAATCATGATACACAGTCAGGTACGAGTATCCCAGAGTTCCCTCAACTTGCCTAGACATATGTGAAGAATAGCCGGAGTTACTCATTAGGGGCAGCACTTGCTATAAGGTTTTGTTCCTGGGATGTCGAAAAAACTTCTTTCAGAAAAGGTTTTAGCTGCGCCTCGAGAAATACCGTTTCACGTCGTGAGGCGCGAGCTCTCGCGGTAAATGAGTGACCTTCAGAAACCCTAACGTCAGCAAAGTGCTTGACAGAAATGCTGACGCAAGAAGAATGCGGCAAAACTAGAGTTTGTCGGCGAAAATACTTCAACTTCATCATATAAGGTGGAGTCTGAGGAAAATTTGCCAAGTTCAGAACGGCCAACAACTCATGAACATTTTCTAATCTGCTCCACACAAGAGGAAATGGACAACTATTTCATCTAATGAACGAGCCAGTTCCGAACACATCTTATAAGACTAACGCGTATGAGAAGCCAGTCAGATGACTGCTCCATTCTAATGTCCAGATTAACCACGACCAACTTGACAGGGGTGCGGCACTTATCTCACCACTTGTTCCGCGTATAAGAAAACCCCCAGCAATAAAAACATCATCGTCCATTTCCGATCAGCCCACCCACTTCAGACTAAGCGGGCTATCGTCAGGAATATGTTCCGGACCGCCGCAAAAGTCTGTACGGGAGCGAGCGAAAAGAAAGACTCGATCTCGAAAATCTGCGGCACGCTCACGATTGCATAAGCAGAACGTGGCTCACACCTCATGCTGTGCGCAGACACCATACAACAGATGTATGGAATGCATGATAGTCCATCTAGACAGCCACCGCGCCCCCACGACCCCCAACCTCCCCTCGTTAACAGTTTGATGACAAGCAATACCTATTCATGCACTACCTATTCCTCAATCTCCGAAGTTAAGTAAGACTCCATAAAAAAGTGCCGGAGGAGAGCGGGTTCTAAAAGCAGAACATTATGGTTAGTAGACGGTTCCTACCTAATCAACCTGAAACGTCGCCGTCCAGTTCGAAACCCCATGTATCTGACGCTCGGCACACTGTTTGTAACTCCTGATTGTGTAGTTTGCCCTGCTGGCAGGGAAGGAGACTGCATAGTCACAGGCGTGGTCTACAAGATCTCCTGTCTATCTTGCGGAGATGAGTACATCGGTGAAACGGCTAGACCACTTCATGTGCGGACAGTCAAAGGAGCATCTGGATGGAAAGTCTAGACTGCGTGTATCAACCCCATTAGGATGCCACAGGGTACAAGATCACAACGGAGACGATTTTGGAGTCACTGTAGAGATTTTAGAGCGCGAAGACCAACTTTCCGCGCGAAAAACTCTCGAAGCATTCTGGATTCAGGTCAGGAATCCAAGAATGAACCGAAGGGGAGAATGCTTATCAATCACGCGAGAGCTATCTCCCTATATAAGATTAGCATTTAACGGCTCTGGATAGTCTCAGTTCGAAAACTTCTATCACCGAGGCTCGTCGTTTGATCCGGTGAATTCGGTTGAGGTATGTTGGTTGTTCGAGTTCATGACTCGAATTACATGCTGGACTTAGAGGGGGGGTCGAAAGGGTAGGGCGTGCTTTGATGGTGGGTCGGAGATCATTAATTCAGCCTGACCCTTTCAGCTGCCGAAAGAACGGCAAACGTGGGAATCGCCAAACGCCGAAAACGTCAGCCAATAAACATTCATAACAACCTCGTCTGAGCAGTTAAAAAGAAAAACTTCATAACAACATATAAAAAAGCAGATGCCGAGGTTAAGAGACAGTCGGACTTGGGATTTTCTAATTCGATTATCTTTGGATATAAAAATTTCAGTATTGATGCTACGGATAGAATTCGTGACCTCACAGGTGAGATGCTGTTCCTCCAAAGCAACTTTGTATTGCGATGTACATGTGGTTTGCTATGGCTTTGGAAGGAGCGATAAAATGGAGCCTCCTCCCCCTACATGAAGCATAGAATGTCGAGAATACGAGTGTACCACACTTCGCTCTTTTTGAGAAACGGGCAGTGCACGAAACATGTTCTTCAGCACCAAAACGCGGCAGCAGTTGTCTCGTTTCCAGCAAAGATAAGGTTTCTGCGCAACGGTACTGACAAGGGGAATTTGGCACTAAGTTCTACTGACTGTTGTCATTTTGAAAACGTCAGGACTCAGCGTGCACAACAGTCGGCAGTGCAATGCGGTTCATCAGCTCGAGGTGGCAATATTTGCTGCTTGCGATGCTACACACGACACAATCGTGAGGAACCTTGTTCAAGGGCATGCGGGCAAAATGACCAAACCAGCACAAAATCATGTAGGAGCTACCAGACTTTCATCTCAAAGAAATTTTTTTTCTCACGTGTCCACATAAGTTTTTGTACAAGGAAACTTTTTCCAGTGATAAAAAATGTGAAATCGCCCACAAGTTGCAACGACGTAAAGTATTCTATGGTTCCCATGGTATTGAATAATGAAGGTCCTACTTCGCCATAATGAAAAGAATGTTTTTACAGTAAAGATCCATTCAGTTCTTTTCACGGCATGCTGTGGTTTCTGCAGAGCGAAGTCTTTGCATCGAATTAACAGTTCTAGTGCTTTTGTAGAGTCAAAATTTGGGGTGCCCACAAACTTTTGTTACGCACTGTATTGATATAATATTTCGAGATGTATGAAAAGTTGTCATAGCAAAGAATTTTGGAGGACTTCTGATAAGAAAACATGTCAGAGGTGTATTACTCTACTATAACTAAACTGTCCTATAAAAAAAAGTTCGTTGTTAGGTTGTTGAAGAGTCTGGTAATTCGTGAGAAATTTATCAATGATGGTTTTCGACTTCCGCCCTTGGACTCCCAGCCGAGAAACTCATGGCTAACAGGAGATCGACTACTATGTACTGCCGAAACATCTGTTTGCATGTGAAAGGCGCGATAGAATAACCCATCTCCCAGTTGATGGGAACTCCTGCGGCTCTTGTTCATAGAATTTAGCAATGTTATGGAACCAGTTATCTTCACCGTATGGATTAGAACGTCACACATATTTAAGGGTCATCGCTCGGATCGGAAATTACTCAGTGTCTGCGACCTTGTAGTATCGGCGGAAGGAGCCCATCCGCGAAAGGTTTTAATATGTATGCATTAGAAGAGTCGGCCGACCGGAGTTCTCCCGAACCTATCTGACACTTACCATTAGGCAGCGTTCATAGTTCGCGACAGCAGCGGCGATCGCCAGTAGGAGGACCAGCTCGCCCCAACACAACTAGATGGACGTATTGAAAAACTTGTTGGAAAGGTATTTTCATGCGGTTTTTTTCTTCTTCCGCCTAATCCTCTTCGACGTACCTCACCTCTCATTCCCCCCTACCCTCCCCCCGACCTCGCCCCCGACTCCGCCCCTCACTCCGCTCCCTGAATCCGCCCCATTACTTCATCACTCCTTCATAACGCCTTTCACCTCCCCGATTTCAGGGAATTCCACCGCCGACTCAGTGGAGTGTGTCATTAGGTCTGCTTGGAGCACTACGTCTCACTGTGTGCGCCGCTCGAACTACTTCCACTATTTCGGCAATTCCCCCGTCCAATCAGTGGGTGTGTCATTAGGTCCGCTCTGGGGCACTACGTCCTCAGTGTGTCATTAGGTCCCCAGCCACGCCCATATCCATATCCCACCAAGCCCCGCCCCGACTCCGCCCACTTCTCTCAGAATTTTCGTTTTTTTTTTCTAGACTTTCCCACAACCTTCCCCGTCCCACCCTAAGTACTGAGGCAAGGTGTGTCATTAGGTCCGCCTGGGGCACTACGTCCCACTGTGTGCGCCGCCACGCCCCCTTGTAAGCCACCAAGCTAAGCCAAAATCATATTCCGAGGCCATATTCTACCACAAGTTCAGTTGTAAGCCACCAAGCCAAGCCAAAATCATATTCCGAGGCCATATTCTACCACAAGTTCAGTTTTTACAATACGGTTCCCGTTTTTTTTTCGCAGTGAGGTATTAGTATTGAATGAAGTGCAGAAACGATTAGTGAGCTTAGCAGGATATCGTCTTGTTGCCATGAAAAGAGCAGGTCTGAAAAACTCGTTCAGAAAGGCTGCCAAGTCCTTACTTAGGATGCTTTATTTATTTATTTACTTATTATATGCACTCCTAGGTGCGCTACATTCCTTGATACCATAATCAGGTCGGAACTAAAAATGCAGAAGAATGTAAAGAAAAGAAAAAAGAATACAAAAACACCACAGAAACGAAACACAACTCAAAAGAACACAACACAAATGAGCCCAAACGGCACAGAACGGACACAGAATATATAACTACTACCAACAAAGTTCATCATAGGTAAGGAATTGTCCAGTCGAGTATGTAACAGAAAACAAAGAATTTTCAGAACTTATATGATTTTTTTCCTGGCTCTTTTTCTCTCCAGTAGAATCGCTTAGCGACTATAGCAGCGTTCGGCTGATATCGCCGCTGTCAGTCAGGATGATGTCAAGAGGCATGTAAA